TTTCTAAAAAGGCTGGGATATTGTCAGACCAGAGAGCTGCAGCAGTGAAACTATGCCTATTATCTTGGTCTTTTGTGCTCAAGATGAGCATCCTTCCAATCTCAGGTAGAGTCCCACTCAACAGCCTCCCTTGGAATACAAGCATACATCAAGTTTTGCCATTAAAGCAGATCAGCATGTCCCAAGTCTTCTCTTGTTCATATCACCAAAGCAAAGGTTTACTTGGCTCTGAAGTACAGTCTCCCTCAGGGTGATATGCCCTGAAATAATCAGTTGGACCAGGAAGGAAGGTTTAGACAGAAGTACGGGGTGGGAGAGTTGGCCAGTACAAGAAAGGTAAGACCTAGTTTTAGTATAGTTTATATCTCAGTACTCCACAGATGAACTCAAGTTATTCTTCAGCCTTCTGCCTGCCCTGCAGTGACCACTGTACAGCAAAAATCTCTCACAATCACCCAGTGAGCCACTAACTTTGGGGCAAATCTTGGGAGGAGAACAGAACCAAGCAAATCTTACGAAAAATAGGAAGAGAACATTACATTTCAATGTTCTTCTTCCTCTGTGTTCAGTGGCTGAAAAAGCTTCTTTGGGGTAAAAGAAGGAACTGAGTTCACCCTGAGTGAGAAGGCAGCTGGGTCACAAAGATTGGGGTGGTTTCCTTGCTCCCAATTTGACCAGATACTATGTTAATGTAAAGAATGGTTCTTGGAACCAGGAACTTTGTTTTATGAAGTTTCTGCTGAAGAAAAAGCAAGCAACCAACCAAACAAGCAGATACTGAGTCCATTTTTGTCTGCTCACCTGACATTGCACTAGGTAAGGCTGAGTAGCAGAGGCTATCAGCAGGTCCAGAAGTGCTGTTCACAGAGGTCAGAGGTTACTATCCTGTTAGAAAAAAAGGGCAAGGAGAGAATTCAGTTAGCATCTAAGAACATGGTGGGAGACAGAGAGATCCCTCACTCACAACTTTCATAAACAAAAATTAAATCCCTTAGTATTTAAGTTTTGCCCCCACAAAAAATAAATTCCAGAGACTGGAGTTTCCTCTTAGTTTACCTACTGAGCAGCTAGAAAGAGCACACTGCCATTTACTAAATTCGTTGTGACAGTACCAGCACTGCTGATCAAAAGAATGTCAAAAACCAAGACAACTTCTATCACCTTTTCCATCCCATATTTCGAGTCCTATATTTAATTATGAATACTAAAAAAACACACCATACATCATCAGTCTCTGAAGACACTGACCATGGAAAAGGGACAGCGAAAAGGGTTTAAGGGGGTATCATTAGATGCCGTAAGCCCAAAAGAGATTTTAGTAGCAGCATCACAAAGTACAGGAGCAAAGTGTGTAGGGGTGTGGAAACACAGCTCTCTGAAGGATGTGGACGAGATGCTATCAAGTAACTCTGCAATGAGCCAGGAACCAGGCTCCTCTGAACTAAAGCAGGCAGTAGAGCTCAGATGATGGAACAGCCCATGTAGCTTCCCTCCTTGCTTTCCTGGCACTAGTCAACAGCAGATTTTTATGGGGGGTTTTATGGGGATTTCCGAGAAAACAATGGAATAGTTCAGTAATTAGAGAGAGAGAGATTCTGGACTTTAGGATCAACCCTACAACTTATGTGTGGGAGACAGCAAGAGCCACCTCAAACAAGCAGATAAAGCCAGTGCTGGGATATACCAGTCACTCGCACTTCCTTGGGAAAGAACCTCAGAGAAACTAACACTAACACATCTGGGATGGCTTTTCCAGCTTCCCCTTTCCAGTAAAGCTACTTATGATGGTAAACTGCTAAAAGTAGGAACTCCAGGGATTCGTCCAGCAGGCCCTGTCCAAGTTGGTTTATAGTGCTGAATAGTACAAGGTTATATTGCCTTTGCATCTCAGTGAGCTTTCTAGGGAGCACTTGTAGCCTGGAAGCGACTTGCTACAGCACTCCAAGATAAGCAGCTGTGCAACACTGCAAATGCATAAAAAACATCTGTGTTTGGAAACACAAATGATAAGGCTTCCTCCTCCCAGATTTAAACAGTTCTCTTGCCTGAGAAAGGCTGGCATGGATCAACAGATGCTCTGATTTTCTGACACCAACTCTTAGGGCAAAAAGAATAACAAAGGTACCACCAAAAAAAAAAAAAAAAAAAAGCTTTTATTTTTGAGAAAGAATGCTGTCCACAGGATGGTCAGTTGCTTACACACCAGTTCTGTAAATGTTTGTCTATCTCCCTATCACTCTAGTGCCATTTCTTCCCTTAGCACCAGCTCTTCTCTCAGTAGCTGAAGACGTAACAACAATTACAAAATGAGCATCTGCATGCTCGTATTACATGGGAATGCACACAGCATGCCCACCAAGCAGGTAAACTGGCTGACAGTACCTATTTCCCTTTCATTCATTCCCTTTATTTAGATGTTTTTCAGGCTTATCACTGCCTTGCAACCATGACTGCTCTGCTCCTGAGCCTGCAAAGTGTCCTTCTACGCTGCCTTCTCTCAGCCCAGTTAACCCTGTTCCCGACAACTTTTACCAGGAGTGCAGTCACCATGTGGTACATCTGCCAAGCTTCTCATCGCTTCTCATTGCCTCAGAGCCTCAAGCCCGTGAGCAGGGATCCCCCTCGGTCACTATTAACCTTCATCGTGTGCACAATCGCTGCTGCACCAACCTGCGATGGAGGAGCCGGGCCAGTGTTTGGAAGAGCAGCAGAGTGCTGAGTGGTTTTTCCTCATTCCAAAACAGGTGTAGCAGAGGGAACACCTTCTTTGTCCACGTCACCACACGCTGGCCTCTGCCTTGCTGGGGATCACTCCCCTGCCTGCTGCCTGCTCGCTCTCCTGTCCCTGACATTAGAGCACTGAACTCGGTGGGCAGGTTTTTCCAGCCCCTGGTTTCTATAGAAACATTCCTGCAAGCACGGATCTGGGACAGAACCCAGGAAGAATGTGAGGCTCACTTTGCTCCTGGCATGGCTGTGCAGGAGGGCAGGGAATCACACCAAGAGAAGGCTCCTGCTACAGCACACCACACGGAGGCAGAGGCACCAGGGACTGCCCACGGAGCCAACGTGCCAGGGACTGCCCACAGAGCCAAGTGTCTCCAGGAGAAGGCGCTGAGGCCAGTGCACCAGCCCTTCCAGCATCACAGGAACCAGGAAGAAAGTTCCCTGGCACAGCCAGGCACCACCCAGGGCAAGACAGGAGGCGGAGGAGGATACCTGGTATATAGTAAGTTCTTTCCTTTGACTGAGGTATATAAACCTAAAGCAACTCTCGAACTCTCCTAGAACAAAAGAGGGTCCCACAAAGCCTGTGAAACTGCACATGTGAAATTCCTACAGCTCTTAGCTGGGTTATTTGCACAGTGCACACTTCTGAAAACAAGAAACAGTAAGAAATACAAAGGAAAAAACACATCAGATGGAACAAATATTAATGGCAACTCCCAAACCCTCAGAACTCCAAAACTAAAACCTCACACACATTAAGAAGCATCTCCCATGTTTAAAGGCCATTTAAGTTTCCAATATGAAGCAATCTTGGCCACATAACGGGCAGTCCTCGCATTCTGAAACAAATATACTTTTTGTTAAAATGTTAATGGTACCTGTTATTTGCAGATATACCTTTTGTGTTCAGACTCCAAAACAAATCACACCACCATTGGTTCCAGCCTGCTAGAAGACAGCCATGGTGAGTGTGTGTACCTGAAAAAGAAGGCTGCAAGGGGAGCTCTCCACTTTCAAGGCCTTTGTTGGAGTTGCAAATACACACCATGCAAGATTATAGTTAGTTTCTTTTCCAGTGTAGGTGTCCTTTAGAAATGGATGTTTGCAAAGGAGACTTGCAAATTTACTTCCACTTGGCAATACCGTACCTCCTCTGGACATGCTGGCTCTTCCACACAGCTGTGGTATGAGAGATTTCAATTACCTGGTTTCTGGCAAACACCAGATAGCAATCTCCTGCTGCCAATGTTTTACTTGCTTGGCCTCTTTTGCCACGTGATCTCCATATAAGCCTCCAGTAGTAGTGCCTGGATGTGCTAAGCATGAAATGATGACTGTCTGGAGCCTTTCAGTAGGATCTTTATTTTGGGACAGAAAGTCCTTCTCAGGAGTACTATTCCCCTGCTGATTTTAGCAACAAAAAAAGGTAAGAAGCCAAAGAAAAAAA